GTAGCATGATATCTGTGAGCTTGATAGCGGGATCATCCAGAAAAGGCTTGAGAACCTCCAAGTGACCCCAAAGATCTCCAGTCTTCATGCTGATTACATTGGGCAGCCGTATGGAGCTCCAGCAGGCCTCCTTTTCTATCAGAATAGATATACATAGATAGATATATATATATTTTTGTTAATATTGCTTTTAAATGAATTTTTAACGCAAATAAAACTTGTATTTTATGTAGAATATACTTTATATTTTGACTTCAGCGCCAATTCAGGGTCAATTTATTAAAAATCTATGATTTATTATGTTTCAACCACATACGCCAAATTCGAACCAAATCGGACCATAAATACGGGTTTTCGAAATATCTCGACCTTGGCACCACCTAGGAAGACCATTTTATGCAAACATGATACTACTTACATAGCCAGTATATACTTTAAAAAGCAGACAAATCGGCCCGTAAATACGTTAGATATAAAACTTTTATTTTTTTTTGTCGTGGTGGACCTTCCGCTGGAAACACCCATATGCGATTTCATTATAGCGAGCACGAAGTATGCGTGTTAGTCTAGCGCTCGCCGAGCTCACACTAGGTCCAACCGTCCAAGAGTGAACCACAGGAGGACAGAGGCGTCCCTAATTACTCCTTATCGGGGGATAACGTTTCAAGGGTGCCTTTCCATCGCCAGGTCAGCAGCCACGCAGTTTTCCGCGATGTTACTGTGACCTGGCACCTAAACTAGAAGAAGTACTGTGGTTCAAAAAAATTAAATTAAATTAAGGAAACGCCTGACGGAATTCGAACCCAGCACCTTCTGGAAGCTAACAAATAGCGGCACGATCCTCTCCTCTGCACGCTCAGCCACTGCTGACTACGAATGCATGCTTTCAAATGTTTAGTTTGAACAAATAAAATACAATTATTGCTTTCAAATTACACTATCTTTTTCGAACGTTTCGAGCGTTTTCTGGATACGAAAATGAATTCGGTTTCTATTCGTTTCCGCATACGAAATTTTTTTTTTAGTTGTGCTTCTTTTGAAGACGGTGATATTTCAAAATACTGACGTGGTAAGGCGATTCTTCTGTCAGACTCCGGACTCAGCACCAAAAAATCTATAAGAAAGCAGGTGTTTCACTTAGGTCTTAAAATTTTGTTACACTGCGTAACCGAAAGAAATCGATAGGGCTACACTATCGGACTTGCTTTGGCAGACTATTTCCGTCGGAATTCATCTGCTCCTGAACAAAGACACGATGCACGATCGGAAAAATCTATATACACTCGCCTTATTAAAGACACTCTAGACATATGTGATATAAAGGAAGTCATGGTAAACTGTTTGTAGTAAAGCGAACTCTCAATCGACCAAACCTGAGCCCTTTCACCTAACCATAGAGCAGGTGGCCAACCGATCTCTGAAAAGCTTTGCAAGAGCGAGTCTTGGGAAAGGAAAGGCCATATCCTCTAAGAATGTGGAGAAGATAGGTTCTCTGCTCTCGCTAACACTGTTTTCTGGAGACGACACAGAGAGAATGATATTTTTTGTAAAAAGGTTAAAAATAGAGTTATGCAACAAGACAACAAGAGGCTTCACTTCCCTTTTAAAGGCTCCTCCACCTTATGTTATTATATATATATTAATTAAAATTATGTACATAAACTTTATGCAAATACGGCCTTCAATTCTTCACTATTGTTAGCTTTCTTTAAAAAAGCCAAATGTGATAACTTTCAATGACTTTTTCATATAATAATTCGGGCAACAAGTAAACCATAACTTCACGTATTTTGTACTTTGATTTCAACAAAGATGTGGAATTATTCATAGAAGCACAACAAACCAAGGAGTGGTCACCAAGCCATATTGTCGAATTTCGCGCAATGGAGGAAAATTAAATACTGCACACGTTATGCCTACGGTGACCATCCGTCCTTTATTTTAAAGGACAGTCCTTTATTTTAACCCCCTGTCCTTTATAACTTTTTTCAAAGTAAAGGACGCTTTTTGTCCTTTATTTCTTGAACTGTCCTTTAAATCGGCTCTTCATTTTTCAGGGGTAAATTTTTAAACGCAGAATATGAAAAATAAAAATGTCCCTTGTAAAATATAATGAAAACCTTCGCCAGTTTGCTTCGCACCCCACTTAAGGGTTTCTATTGAATCGGTAATCTTTGTACAAGCTATAAAGCACAGGGAAAGTTTTGCTCAGGATCGTGTTGCACGCTGAGTTTCCAGTTCCACTGAAAGAGAACAATGAACCCCCTGCTGCACAGTGGTTCAAAACTGGCATTTAGTGTTCGCAATTCACTGGAGCCTTCATTTTTCACTTAATTTGATGAATTTTTATTTTTTTTGTTTATGAAAGCTTAAGGTATTTGCAAGAGACCAGTTGAGCCTGATTTCTGAACTTTTATTTGATAATATCAATTTTTTTAGTGCAAAATACAGATAAAGTAGCAATTTTGAAGAAAATGTATTCTCCTGTTCCAGTTAATAAATGTTACATAAAAAAAACTAGTTGAAAAATGTTGTATGGTTCTCCCTAAACAAAAAAAAAAAAATACACAAAAAAATTTTTAAATATTATAAAAAAGTGTTCACTAAAATAAATATTTTTTTTTGGTTTTTAGTAAAAATTTGTTGAAAAATGAAACCTACGCATTATGAACATTAAATTCCAATTTTGAACCACTCTGTGCGGCTTCGTCGTGCCGTATGAATTATGGTAAACGCATTTTCGTAGCAAAGGATGGCGAAGTCCTTGAAAAGGATTTGGCTTAATTTTTCGCTACAGAAGGGGAACTTGTACAATTAAATAATATAATTAACTGCTATATATTTGATTTAAATTACGATATCGGTAAGGTACTTTTATCACACAAGTTGTATGTACGTATTCCCAAATCATTTTGAAAAAAAATGTCCCTCATTTTACGTTGGTTAATATGGTCACCGTAGTTATGCCGCATGTGGTACCGTGTTTTTAAAACCACATTTCGTCCATATCGTTGAAAAAAAACTGAAACATGCATACTAAAGTAGCTGTTAGACGTGGCAAGTGCAAGTCCTTTTCAAAAGTCTGTCAAACTCAAGAATTTCCAAAAGAGATTACAGGAGCAGTTACACCGTGCATTTACAGTGGCTTTCAAAAGCAGTTTTTATTTCTGAAATCAAATATTCTAATACTAATTTTATCTGTTTACACGGTGAATACAGACAAGTTCACTTTAAACTATGTTACCAGACGTTTTAATGTTTATAACAAAATTAATGACCTGAAAAATTTACTAAACCTGCTAAAATGTACACAAAAGAATCACAAGATGCCTAATACAATAATACTTAAATACTCCATATCAGTAGAATAAATGAATTATATGTATTTTTTCATATTTTAATCAACATCTTTATACATTTTTGCAAATTCGCCAAAAAACGCGTCACACGGCAACACTCGATTGGTTTGACAGCACTTTCAAGCTGAAATTATTTCTCGAAAGCGATTTGCGTATTTTAGGTTGCGGTTACACCTTGCAATTTTTCTTGCCGAAAGTGATTTCTGCAAATACGCAAAAAGGACTTTCTGACTGTTTACACGGGAAAGTAGACTTTCGATTTCCACATTTTGACAGCAAAATGCTTAAAAAAGCGCTTGCATTGCCACGTTTAACCGCACCTTAACTTTTTATTTCAATTGCAGTTAGAAGCTAATCATTTTTTTTTCTATCTACAAATGCAATTAACTACATTGAAATTTTCTACTTTCAGAATAGTTCTGATGAAAAACTGCCTGTCTTGATTTATATACACGGTGGTGATTTCATTTTCGGCACTCCAAATCGTGAATTTTATGGTCCTGAATATTTTATGGATACGAACGAGGTTATATTGGTGACCATTGCTTATCGTTTGGGTCCATTTGGTGAGTATTGGTATCCATTTATGTACTTAACGATCGATCGTGCGATTTGTTTTATTCCCAAGCGCCAAAGACTTGAAGATTGAATTCACTGCTTTAACGAAACTTTTTCAGGTTTTCTAAGTAGTGGTGATGAGCACATGACTGGCAATTTTGGATTAAAGGATCAAAATTTAGCTTTGAAATGGGTGCAATCGTATATATCCGCATTCGGTGGTGATCCTTCGCGTGTTACCATTTTCGGTCATAGTTCTGGCGGTTTGTCTGTCCATTTTCATATGCTAAGCCCTGCTTCACAAGGTATTCCTTTGTGTTTCATTATTAATAAACAAAAAATTAGAATGCAATGTTTTGTCAATTTAAAGGCTTATTTCGTAATGCTGTTCCAATTAGTGGTCTTGCAAATACGGTTTGGGCACAGCCAATTGACCAAAAGGCGCAAGCCATTCAATTAGCCACAGCTGCTGGAATTAGAAATGCTTCCAACATATCTTCTATAGAACTTGTTAATGCTTTGCGTAATTTACCGGCAGAGCAATTGATGGAAGCCTACGATGCATTGAAAACTTTCATAAGTTTTCGAGCCACCATTGAAGAGGCATCATGGCCGGAGCCATTTTTAACAACGAATGTGCGCAACTTACTTAACAGTAATCCGCCGGAGACAGTGCCATGGATTGCAGTTAATACACCCACGAAAGGCGAAGGCGTGAGCATAGCTCCAAGACTTGCTGGTAATTCGTCTTTGCAAGCTGAGTTCAACGAAAACTTTGATGACTTATTTAAGCTACTCACAAATTTGCCTGCTGACGAATCGAAAGAGGTCAACGATGTGGTAGAACGTTTAGTGGCAGAATATATGGGTGGAGTTCGAGAGTTGAATAATGACACGTTGGATGGTTTCTTAGAGGTAGTTTATGAAAGCTGTTGTTGAAATAAATATCTTATTCCCTCTACTTAGCTTTTAGGTGATTCCTGCTTCATGTATCCAGCATACAAAGCAATTGCCGATAATGTGGAATCTAGTAATGGAACAATTCCTGAAGGATATATACTGTTCAATTATCGTGGGCCTTACTCATATTCAGAGCGGTTTACGGGTAGCACAAAAGACTTTGGGACTACCCACGGCGATGATTCATTATATCTTTTCACCTCGCAAGTAATAGCACCGGATGGATATTCCAAATCGTCGGCAGAGGCTGCGTTGGTAAAACGATATGTGGAAATTTATGTGGAGTTCGCTAAAAACGGGTGAGTTAAATTAATTTGGGTGTATGACCAGTGATCGGACTTAATAAAAATTCTGTGTGGTAGATTCTGGAAAAAAAATGTGGTAGATTTAGCAAAAATGTGGTAGATCTCAGGTTTCGGATCAAACTTTTTGCAAAAATTTAAAAAAGAATCTGCAAGGTTTCACCTTAACTGAAAACTTTTTAATTCGAATCTCTAGAAAAAACTTTTAACTTGGGTTTTGCCAATTTTGACAATCCTCAAGTAAAAGTAGTCAACGCGTTAAAAACTTTAGATGCACTGTAATGTGCTAACTTTCACAAAAAACGCCGATTTTTCTCATTTTCTTTATTAGTTCTCTTTATAAATCATATATTTTGCAATTTACCACAATGAAATGACGTTTCCCGACGAAAAAGTTTAATATTGAGAAATTGAGAAAATTCATGGTTTGACAGTTTCTTTTCTCCTCACATTCGGCTTTGCTTACTTTTACTTGAGAAATCTCATCGACGCCGGGAATGCGAAATCTTGTATACTATCATTCTTGTTAATTTCGATATTTTTACCATTCGATGCCGATACTTTTTACTCGAAATTTTTTAAACGATAGTTTTTGGAATCGAGTATCTGAACCCTTGTATCGCATCGAATCCTAAATGTACATGACGAAGTTAATGTGAATAATGATACATTTGTATGACAAATTATTAGAAAATAAAATGAAAATGTCAAAATTTAATTTTCTGGGAATTGGGCAAGACAATTTGTATAAAACTTTTTGTAGTAATATTTGAAATATTTAGAGTGAATTTTCCAAATTCCAAGATGTAAAAATTTGTCCTTACTAAAATTCCTATTGAAAGTTTTGTTGTTAATATTGTTTTTAAACATTCCATTTTTTGCAAATCTATGTCGTACTGTAACCTTACTTACATTGGAATTTATATATATTTTGAGCTTTAAAGCGCAGAAATGTGAATTATCTTAAGTTGGTATGTTGCGCGCCTTCAGAGATGTACATACTTGTCATAGTGCAAAGTGTTTATTCTTTATTAGAAAATGAGACCAATATTCAGATTTAATTTTTTGAATTTTATATCGATATTTGGATCATCGAGTCTTTTTATTACGATATTTTTACAGCCCGATATTTTTACAGCGATGCTGTAAATGAGTACTATATCGGTACTTTCGATTCGATATCGTGTCCCCACCTGTTATCACATAGTGTTTAGTGTTGGACAACTTTTGCTCTTAAAATTAAGAAAAAAAATAAAGAAAATCATGTGGAGCTAAATTTTAAATACTCAAAAATGCGAATATGTGGTCGATTTCAGACCTTGTGTGGTAGATGTGCTGGATGCTCCAAAAAGTGGTAGATCTACCACAATGTGGTAGAAGTCCGATCACTGTGTATGACGGGTATTATACTATTTTAATATGTGCTTATATTCTATTTTCAGAGAAGTTGAAGTGTTCAATAAAATACAGCCCTGCACTAAAGCACTGTTTGGAAAACAAGGCTTTTGTGACTATTTGTCCATCGTCAAAGAAGAAGAACCATTCGTGGTTGACAACTCATGGAACACTGAGCGCATGCAATTGTGGGAATATGTATATAAAACCTTTTATTGAGTTGTAATCAAAATAAATACACGACTGGTCAACAGTGGTTTTGATGACCAAGTGTTATAGAATAGAATAGAATTATGCTGGGGTAAGCACTGCGACCAATAGGTCTATTGTGCCCCGAGCTAATCACAACACTGAATCCAGACCCAGGGACTCCAAGAATTTCAGAATGGATCCCGGGGGCAGGGTGTGTATGTGATATTCACTTGGCCATATGTGTCCTAAGCACCTCTCCCTTCTTCGCGAAACGGCCTCACACTCCAGGAGAAGGTGCATTGGAGTCTCTTTGGCGGAGTCACAGAAGCGACATAAGTCGCTTGACCAGATCCCCAGATTAAACAAGTGGCCTCTGAGCCTACAATGACCCGTCAAAATACCTGTNATGAGCGAACAAGTTTTATGTATTTATTTATACTTGTAAATATTGTTTATTTTTTACTTTTGTTAAACCCAAACTGTTATAAAAAAGTATCCTTCGATTAAAAACGAGTGTATGCTTTTAGTGTGGTAAAACACTCTTTTTTCCAGAGATTTGGTGCTTTTTGAAACTCAAAAGTTGGCAACACTGCATGTATTAGTAAAAATCGTTGCCCACTTCCTGTTTGCCCGTGATTTCCCCTGATCTAGCCCGCGAAATGAGCTCGCTTGCCCGTACTTGCAAAAAAGCTACTACGGTCCATGTGACCATGTCTGGTCTACGGTACTCGCCGTCGGCAATGCGTAAAGGCCCGTAAATCCTCCGCAAAACTCTTCCCTCGAATACTCCAAGAGCCGCCTCATCAGATACTGTCATTGTCTATGCCTCTTCGTCATATACCAGCACGGGCATGATAAGTGACTTATAGAGTGTTGTTTTCATATGTCGAGAGGACTGAACTCCTGAATTGCCTACTCAGTCCAAAGTAGCACTTGTTGGCAAGAGTTATTCTGCTTTAGATTTCGATGCAGACATTATTATCGGTGTTAAGGCTGGCTCCCGAGAAAACGAAATTGTCTACGTTTACGAAATTATAACTATCAACAGTGATGTGAGTGCCTAGGCGCGAATGTGCTGACTGTTTGATTGATGACAGGAGATAAGTCGTCTTGTTCTCATTGGCCACCAGACCAATTCGCTTTGCTTCCTTATCCAAAGGCACAACAGACGTCGCGATTCTTGTCACCGATGATGTCGATACCATCAGTATAAGCCAGCAATTGCACGCTCTTGTAGTAAATTGTTCCTGAGCGGTTCAGTTCTGCAGCGCTTATTATCTTCTCCAATATCAGATTAAAGAAATCACATGAAAGGTAGTCGCCGTCTGAAACGCCGTTTCCCAATTCTATTGCCCAACCTCATTTTACACTTCCGTATCAGTTTCGAGCGGATACCAAATTCAGACATCGCGGCTAATAGACAACTCCTTTTAGTACTGTTAAAAGCGGCTTTGATGTCGACAAATAGGTTTTGAATGTCAATCCTTTTCTGACGGGTCTTTCCCAAGATTTGGCGTATTGTGAATACCTGGTCTATGGCGGCTTTTCGAGGTCTAAAGCCACATTGATAAGGCGCAATTAGTTTGTTGACGGTGGCCTTCAGTCTTTCACATAGTACGCTCGATAAGACCTTGTAGCCTATGCTTAGAAGGCTGATCTTGAAACCTTCCGTAAGTCTATATAGTATTTCTTAGAAATGATAAAAAATAGTATAGTTTGGTGAGCTACAACGTTCGCTACATTAAGAGGCGGAACTTTAATGAAAATCGTGGCGCGTATTCGATGAAGAAATTCAAATCACAAATTCAGACTTTTCAATTCTGCTTCTGTAGCTTAGCAACAACAGAGAGGATTAATCAAGAGTCCTGTTAAATTATTTCGTGTTGCAAAGCGAAAAGGTTATTGACCTTCGTAAAAGGAATCTTTTATGAAGTTTAAGTCTAACGGGTTTCCTGGAATAATTTCTGCAATTACATAGGAGAACCCCCGCGGAGGGCAAGCACTTGAAAATAATACCGTAAAATAAATAATTCTGCTTCTCCAATTTATATTCACAAACTGATGGTAGCTGAACGTCTTCAACCGACGTAATGCCAGATGTACTTTTGAAGGCACTTCCATGTAAATCCGAACGCTCTTCTTTCGTGCATTGCTTGATTTTTCGGTCAACACAACGGGCCATCTGAGTTGTTACATGCAGAAGTTCAAAGAAACTGGGTAGGTGCAAAACGTGATGACACCCGTCTTTCTTCGTACAGGTCGTTCGGCCGAAAATATTGCTGTTGTGGAACACAATGTGGACCAGGCCGCGACTAACTTAATTCGTCATCGTGTACAGCAATTTAACTTTTCGTTCAACGCCGTTTAGCAGATTTTAAGTAAAGGACATATGTTTACACGCCTACAAAATGCAATTGACACAGGAACTGAAGCTTTGAGATCACTCGTAGTGCCGTATTTGATGTCGATTTTTGAAATCACCTAAACCGATACGTTAGCAAGCAGCGCTAGGATATTTGGGACACTCAAAATCCACGAGTCATTGTTTGGTGTGGTTGCTGGGCTGCGGAGTCATCTCTTACTTCCTCTAAAATTCAAAATTTATTTAATTAAAAACGGCATCTTTCAATTTATTAAATGTTTTGCTTTGATTATGACGATATTTGTGCTCATTACATACTTAAATGTTTTATACACATAGTCCCACAATTTCATGCGTTTAGTATCCCAAGCGTTGTCAACCTGAAATGGTTCTTCTTCCTTCACGATGGACAAAGAGTCACAAAATTTGTTTCTCAAACAATGCCTTAGTGCAGGTCTGAATTTTTTTAATCACTTCAACTTTCCTGAAAACAAGAAAAAGATACCTTTTAAATACATACATACATCTTTAAAGGCAACAGATAAAAGTTTGTAAATTTTTGTTTTATCATAAACTTAAACACCTCAAAATTTACATAAATATATTCCTAAAGGTACATATTTCACTCTTGATTAACTTAACCCTTGTGTGGAAAGCTGAAAACTGCACCGCATAATATAAACCTAAGTGCAGGCGTAACTATGAGCATTTTTTATTTCATTCAGGGTATGCAGTTATATATGTATGTATGTATATAGTCCATTCAATTCTGATATAATAAAGTGAATATTCGATTACAAAATATCGTTGATCTTTTCGCAATTTGTTTTGTTCAAAAAATATATAAAACTCGTTATACATATGTATGTATGTAAAACTCGGTAGGATTAATCATTTGTTAAAATTAATCGATTACTTGTGTCTAATTAATGATTTAATTGTATCGGAGTTCT